ATGATCGCTGAGGAGCTGATACTTCAAGTCTTTCCAGAAGATAGACCGTTTTTGTTTTGATTTCACCATTGTGGAACGACCCGTGAAAAGAGTCTGGATTGTCTTGAGCAGGGTGGAGCCACCGCCGGACGACATTTCATTGGTGACCGTAGTGACCGAGCTGTCACATAAGCCTTTGCTTTTTCGGTGTATTCAAGTAGACAGGTGCCGTACCTTTAAGCAATGAATCTGATGTAACCACTGGAGCGCAACAAACAGAGGGGTGACGTGAGATTTTTCTAGGCTTTTTAAATGTATTTATCAAGTGCAACCAGACCTGGGTTCCTCTTGCTACCCTTGAAAAAATCCAAAAACCTTTATTTTCCAAGAATACTTCCTTTCAGTGGCGGCTGGTGAAACAAAATCTTGGTGGGGCTGGTGTGCCAATATATTTCCCTGCCTAACCCAGTACATGCATTCAAGTTAAAAGTCGTAAAATTAGTACAATTCCACAATAATGATTTAATTCCCTTATCAGAATCAGCAGTTTACATATACAGTTAACCATTTGAAGCTATATTAGGTCTTATTTTGGAAGGGAACAGTATGAAATACAACACTCAATTTTACTATTTTTCACCAAACACACAAAGTAGACACACAGGTGGTTAGCTTAACACAGTTTTCCATATAACCTCGTGATATTTCATGTTTCTTAGTTGTTCAGAGAGGTGTTTTAAGTCTGTCTGTCCGGCCACTTTTAAAAGGGATGCGGGAAAAACATAACTGCGTTGGCCGTCCCACCGGCTGTCAGCCAGGGCTTAGGCTGGAACAAACTCCTGTTAAAGTGCCGGCTGTGGGACTTAGCTTCTTTACGTTTAATTTTTCCACCATTGTCCTTCTCACGAAAGGAGAACTCAGTAAAGATCTCACTGAATTGTGTGAAAGCTGCTCTACAACTGTCGCCGTCGCCGTAATCTCTACGTCACAGCCTGACTGACCAATAGCTACACGTCTATGGCTTTGGGGCGGCAGCTCCAGGCGCCCCAAAGCCAATAATTTCGGCGATGCTGATTGGCCAAATATTTATTAATTTTCCCTAGCAACATTTTTCAATTGGTTATTTCGCTGCACTTCTGGGGCGCTTTGAGTGAGCGCCCCAGAAGAGAGACGATACGTTCTGTGGGTGAAAATGCACCGTTGAATGAAAGTCAGTTGGGGGAAGTGTTGTTTTAATAATTCATATTACATGTAGCCACATATTATTAAGTAAAACTGACATTGATAATACTTTAAAAATAAATATATATATTATAACTTTCCCCCTCCACATCTAGGGGGGGCGGCGCCCCAGCGCCCCCTATGGGCCGGCCGCCACTGCTTCCTTTCATAGCAAAGTAATCACCAATACTCATCGTTCACTTTTCTCACATATCACCCCCTCCCCCATTTTCTTGCCTCTTGGCAAAACTGTATCCAACTTACCTCAGTATTTGCTATCCACCCCAAGCAGAATCTTAATAATGTAGCTGTTTATTGTAAATTGCTATGCGCTTTAAATGAGAGCATCTGCTCATCTGCAACATGCATAAATATACATGTAATTGTGAGTCTTTGCCCAAGTGTGCAGAGTAAAGTTGTATTTTTTGGTGGTAGTTAAGACAAACTTTGAATAATTATGAGTAGAGATGAACAGACTGAACTTTAAAACTCCAACAAATGTGCTTTTGTCCGATGGGAGAGAGCTTGTATAGCCACTCAATCCTACAGACTGGAACAATGGTGGATTTTATAAAGACGATATGAGAGGAAAGGAGGACCCTTTGGAGGAGGGACAGGAAAAGAAATAGGACAAAGCTGCATTGGGGAGAAGCCAGATCGTCAGGAGGGAGATCTAGATAGCGAGAGAGAGGTTTGTGGATGATAAGAGAGGGAGAAAGAGGGCATAAATAATGTACGTCACATTTTACAACTTGGCAAAAGTGAGGGCTTCCCTTCTCTTCTACCCATATATGAACCCCAGTGACACACTCCTCAGGTCTTCATGCACACACGGATGGGTGTTTCACCCGGCCTGCTGCGGAATTGTGTAATGGTATCCCCGTTTAACCTCATCAGGAAAGGCCTGGTAAGAAAAGATCCTGAGAAAGATGCCGAAGTGATGGTGTTTGTTCAAAGCTCTAATCCCAATCCAGCTAAGCCTGATGTGGACTCAGACTGGTTTCCTAAAAATTACGTGGTTTTTCCTGGATGCTTCGCTGTCCATCTGGCGGAGCAAATCTGAGCAACTGTGATTTTTCCAGCACAGCTCTTTCACATGGAGGTTTTCCACCTCCTATTCTCGTTATCGCCGTCACAAATTAGCTGGAAGTAGAATTGCTCAGATGTTGCTTTGAAGATTTGAAGAAAATCTATTCCACCTATACATTTTTGTATATTCCAGTTCGTGGTTAATGGCTGGACCCCATCCCAACTGTCACATTATTAGAAGCATATTTCACCCTTGACAGGTTTTCAAAGAATTCTTAGATTTATTCAAATTTAAGTGCTGATCCTGGTTCTACTTATCTTACAGTTATGAAATACCCTGCTTGGATTAGACAAAATGGATGGGTCTTGTCAATCAATCAGTCAGTTATTTATGTGGCTTATATGGCTTTATTATATTTAATGTTTAAGAAAAATGTTAACGTAATATTTTATGAAGCCAGCAAGAAATTGGAAGTTAAACAACTGTAAAATGCAGTGTGACAGTAAACTCTTAATCTGTTTATATTTCTATCTATCTATCTATGTGAAACTTTAGCTGTTTTAAAATGGTACGTTTTCAAATCAGTGAGTCAATGAGTTTACAACTGCTTTTCATCTGAAGTACTATGCAAAAAAAAACTCAAAAACTCATGTTGACTCATGCAAAACTCATGGTTGGCACATTGAAGTGTTTCTTAAACTGGAGACTTGATCCTGTCCCAACCTTCCTTAAGAAGCAGGATTCACAGGTACAGTTACTTTTCAGAATGCTTTACTAAAAATGTGTTTGCTAGAGGAAAATGTGAAAAAAAAAAAATTTTTTTTTTTTTTTATTTTTTATTTTAAAAAGAATGATTTGGCTTCTTCTGAAATACAAGCTGGAAAATATGGCATTGATTCCACAGGCACACTCTTTAGTTATGTTATGAGTGTCATTATGTATCACTGCACCTACCAGACTGGAATCAAGGGAACCCCAGGTCCAGAGGGAGCTGGATCATTCAGAAGGAATGTAAAGATTTGCGCAAATTGCTTACAGCCATCATAAAGTCGCATTCAGAACAGAAACGACCCATCATCTATTACATCGAGTGAAAAAGTGCACCTCCGATGTCATACAGAGACAAAAATTAAAATAAAGATGGACTTCTGTCACAGAATCTTTTCCATTTTTACCTCACATAGCAAAGTGTGATCTGTAATTTCAACCCATACAAACAAACAAAATGACTGACCTTTTTAGATCCAAATTGAATAATCTGATAATGCTGATACCTTTTAGAAGTGTGTTTATTAATTGCAAAAATCCACAAAATGAAATAATCATAGTTTGTTCTGAACTTTGATTCAAATCTGTAAAGGCGTTTTTTTAAATACCATACCCATAGCTAGCAAGAAAGAAGTATAGTCTCATTATTTGCTGTATTTATGTATTATCAACATTTTCAACTCCATAATAAACTCTGATGATACTGGGCAAGGTGTACACAGTTTTGCCTTAAGAGTTTAATTCGTTCTTTCTCCGCACTATTTTGCAGCTCCACTGTAAAGATGCACATTAGCTGCTTGATCCCAAATCCGCTCCCATTAAATCCATTTGTCATGTTAAGCCTCGCCATTATCACTGACCTGTGAGAGTGTGTAGGGGTGTATATGCATTTGCGTGCGTGCATATAAATAGCTTTTATGTGTGTGTTTAAATCCAAATCCTCTCTTTTTCTGTGACGGACTGTTTTTCCACATTTTTATTCTGTTTTTCTGGTAAAAATGAATCTTTTTAATGTAGAAATCCCATTTTGTGGGAACATATTGCACTGGATACATTTTGTCTGATATATCCATCTATATTATAAGTGTCCAAAAGACCAAGATAAAGAAAAAGAATGAATACTAATATGTGTCTGACTGTTTAGTGGGAAAAGGGCTTTTTCCAGAGAGAAAGTTAAATTCGATTGATGAGTTTGATGATTATGAGAAAATGATAATGTTTATTAACTGAGGAGACAAGATTAAATCATGGGCCTTCTGATATTTTTTACAATATCTATCTGTTTAAGTAGAAATCTAACTTCAAAATGTTAATTTTCATATTTGGGAATGCAATTTTCTCTTATTTACATAATGTGTGGAAAAATGAGCACACAAATTATTCTTATGATGTATTGTGTGCACTAATTTGTCTGATGACAACTTGTTTAAGACGAAGATTTCCTCATTTTTGAGTCATGACAAAAATTATTCATAGATTTTGATTCTTTTATTCAGCAGATGCTTTTGAAAGCTTTTTCAAGCTTTGGTAAGTAGTAGAAAAATTATCAGAAGGATATTTCTATACTTTTGATGTCCTGAGTATTATAACTGAATAAAATTGACAAAAAATAGAAACGATAAATGTCACTCCACCCCTTCAGTGTTTTATTTTCAGTGTTTTAACCTGACAATATTTCCCGAACTCATAAATCCCTTTAATCGTATGTAGTAATTAAGATGGAAATGTTAAGTACTGGGTTGGTTTAAATACTGACTCTGCTACAGAACTAACGTTTGTCATTTCCTTTTAATTGGATTCACATCTCCCATCTAGAGAAAACAAGAAAAGAGAGATAAACTGATGTGTTGTGATAGGAACTCCTGCCTGAGTTGACACAGAATGACTTCGGTGACGTAATGCGCTGAAAATATAACCACTTTCTGTGTGCGTGTGTGTTTGTGCGGCTGTGTGTGTCTGTGTGTTTCTGTGTGTGTGTTTGTTTGTGTGTGGGTGCCTCAGGTTTTCTCCGTTGCATCATGCAGCCCTTAATGGGAATTTAGAGCTCATCTCTCTGCTGCTGGACTCGCAGGCAGCTGTTGACATCAGAGACCAGAAAGGTAAGGAACAAACACACACACACACGCACACACACACACACACACACACACGCACACACACACACTCGATTAAAATGCAGACTTTTTTTTCCCCTACAGAAAACACTTTAACGCACAAACTCATAGTCATTAGCCATGATACGGATGTCATTTTGTCATTTTGTTTGTATTTTGTATGTCATTTTGTCATTTTTGTGCATGTGTGTGTGTTTGCATGCAGGGATGCGGCCGCTGCACTATGCGGCCTGGCAGGGGAAGGCAGAGCCCATGAAGATGCTGTTGAAGTCCGGCTCGTCTGTCAACGGCCAGTCGGATGAGGGACAGATTCCTCTGCACCTTTCTGCACAGCATGGCCACTACGATGTGGTGAGTGTGCACAGAGCTCAGCGACATCTCAAAATTCAAAGAAGAATCTGCATCAGTGGCTGATATTATGTACTATATGACTGCCAGCTATTAAACTAATAGATTGTCATACCTAATAGAAATCCATACCTCTCAACTCATTGGTCTGGTTATCTGCTTTCTATACCTCACTTATATATATACGCAAAACCTCATTAGGACAATCAGCTTTCACTGTACAAGGCACAAAAACCTGGAATACATTACCTGCAGAACTGAAGGGAGAGTCAAACTGGGTCCTTTTTAAACATAAACTTAAAGACTTTTTATTGAGAGGTCAGACATGTGGACATTAATAATCTGACTGTCTTGATCTTTTATTTGTGATGTTTTAGTGTGTAATTTGTTCTGTTGTGCAGTCACTGTGTTTCGTGTAAAAGCCTAACTGGGGACAGGCATTGAGAATTAGCCTTAGCTAAAAGGTTATAGTGTGTGACATGTTTCATGAAACATACTTGTCCCTATCAAATAAACGAATAAATAAATAAATAAAAATATGAAGCTAGGCAAGACAAAGAAATCGGACGCTACATCAAGTGTGAGAGCTGTTAATGTAGTCGGGGTCTTTCATGCTCTCTCCACACCGCTGCAGATGCATTCAAAATTAAACTTTTCCTTGTTTGTTTGCATTTTACATCCACATGGAAACGTTTTATCCCCAGAGCTGATTTAAGAAATGAAAGCATTCCAAGGGGAAGTAATTTTTTTTTCTCAGTGTATCCATATGTTGTGTGTCCGTGCGTGTCAGTCTGTTTTGAGGCCTGCCAACTGTTGCTTTGAGGAAAGAGCATGCACGAGTACTGTAACAGCAACAGCACTAATATAGAAGATGTTTTCCTTTTCTGACTTTACCGGTCTTGTACTGTAACATCTAAACTATTTCTTCTCTTCTGGTTTGGTACAGCATACTGTTAAAGTGAATGAAAAAGCACGAAGCGTTTGTGGGGTACTTCTGTTTTCTCTCGTAAGCCAAACTAGCATATACTTAAAACAGGGAGAAGAGGGTACAGGTGGTTATGCATTGTTGATTTTTACACAACTTCGTCTGAAAACAGATGACATATTTATGTTTTTATGCGTTTTCTAAGCCAAAGGATGTAGATGTGTCGTTACATGAGAGGATGTACATGATTTGGTTGTAAAAAAAAAACTCCTATATTAGATAGTTAATCATATTTATCCTTTTATTTAAAAAAAAGAAAAAGGAAAGAAAAAAACACCCAACTCCAAATAAAAGCTAACATTGTACTCTCAAGCTAACAAGCTAGCCACATGAACATTTAAAACATCTGCTGTTATAGCAGCTTTAGAATTGAAGTTAACCTTTCCGATGGGTACCATATGTACCTGAACTTACAATTGATTTGACAACTGACCACTTTTTAGCATTATTTAAAACCTCTACATAACTGACATGTTTCAGACAAGTGTTCCTGCTTATTCTGACTAAATTAGAGCCATTATAATCACACCAGTGATAAAGAAATCCTTGTTTTTCCGTGCTTCCCAAACTAAGAATAAAAACTATTAAAACAAAAACAATTAAATGTAGTTCCACACTAAAGAAAACATAGATAAGAGACAAGCAAAGCTGAGTGTTTGCAAGCTGTAAGTCCAGAGAGCCATTGCTTCTACTTAATTAAGTAATCATGTTTAATGCATGATAACCAAGCAAGCCCAAGCTAGGATTCGGACTACAACTGCCTGCAGTGTGGAGAGGCAAATAAATGAAAAATTACAAAAGCTGGAATAAATCACAGAGGGAAAATAAATTATTTACGATCAAGTGAGGACAATTGTCAGGGTTAACCCTTTTTATGTGAAACAGAAACCATGAATAAGTCTAACCATTATTTGGTTTGTTCTTATAATTTATTACTATTTCATTTTTTGTGGTGCACTTTGAATCTGAAAGCAAAATTAGCCCACTCCGGTGGTCGGGAATGTGGATCTTTCAGTGTTTTACAACCTTAATCAGTCTTTTTATTTTATTTGGTGCCACATTTATGTTTTGTATCCATTTATTTGCCTTTTCCCTTTCAATATTTTTCATAGCTGTACAGGATATGAGTGCTATTCAGTATTATTCAGTTATAGGAAAGGTCCAGGTTTGGCTTGGAATTTTAAAACCACTACATTGTTTGGCTGGACTTACAAAAAAATCAACCTAAAGACCACATGTAAGGACATTAGTCCACCCTAAATCATTTCCAAATGTATTTTTCAAAGTTACATTGACATGTCCATTCAAATGTGAGTCAATTAGTTACGCATTTATATGATCACTTTGATTTAAACTGGCCATGGTATTCTATGGATATTCCAGGTTTCCTGCTATGGAGTCAAAACAGCAAATAGTCTGATACATTTTCTTATATAGCTTATAATGAAAAAAAAATCATATTAGTTGTACAGTCATGTTTTTTTTTCATACAATGCAACAACTTATTTTTACAACTTACTACTATTTAGTAGAATATTAGTGATGCACAAATTCCTTAAAGGAAATTCCCCTCTCAAAGCCTTTGGGCTTTGAAAAGTGTATTGTGAAAGATAACAGCAAAACCACAAGGGATAACATGCATTAGTTTGTCTGGTAAGTTAAACATACAGTTTGTGGAAACGTGTATACATGTATTAGTTACCCCTGCAGGCAGTAAGCTATTTAGCCGATCATGGGTATAATCTTATGACATAAAATCACGCTGCGAGTGGTTCCTCCTTTTATCGATTTTGTGTCTGGTTTTGGACTTGAATCTGTGATTTATTTTTTTATTTTGTCTTGTTCTTCTTTGCGTGTTTTCATTACAGTCTGAGATGCTGCTGCAGCACCAGTCCAACCCATGTATCGTGGACAACGCGGGGAAAACACCACTGGACCTGGCCTGTGAGTTTGGCCGAGTTGGGGTAAGAACTCTTTTTTTTTTCTTCTTCTGCGATTGCCAATTGAAAATAATGCACTGGGAAGATAGTAACAAGATTCCATATATTTTCTTTGGGCTCGTGTGGCTATAGGTGGTCCAGCTGTTGCTGTCCAGTAATATGTGTGCTGCTTTGCTGGAGCCCAAAAAGGGAGATACCACAGACCCTAATGGGACATCTCCACTCCACTTGGCTGCCAAGAATGGACACATAGACATAATCAGGTCTGGATTCCTCCACATTTCATCTCACACACACATTCACTCACATGCAATGATAGGTTTAGACTGAAGACAGCACAACGGGGAAAACACTCTTTTTAAGTCCACCATTGATAACAGACCTATGTTTTTGTGGGTGTAGAGTTAGGCAAAGCGAAGGGGAGCAAAAGATAAGAGAAAACGTGACAGAAATCAGGAGGACAGAAGAAAGAAGAGTGGGAATAATAAAGCAGATGGAGAGAGAAAAGAAGTTAATAGGTTGGTGAATAAAGTCAGCTATAGCTGATCAAGTTGAGTCTGCATTTCAGGAGGTGACGCTGATAAATTGTCCTCATTACCAACAGGCTGCAGCGCTCGGGAGTCGCACATAAATTCATGTAAAAATGCTTACCCGTACAAAAAGCTAAATGAAATCTGTTTGCCAATTTTTTCTCGATTGAATCAGGCATTGCATATAGCAAAAACTAAACCAAAATGCCTTAACGTGTTTATGGTTGTGGAAGAATGTTGCACTCATCTTTGCAGCATGACTTTGGTCCGTTGAGGTTTGTATTTAGTCAGTTTTTATTCATAAGCTGCGTTTAGCTTCCACCACAATATGTCAATCACCTTTATGTCATGAATCAACAGAAGGCCAAAACCAGCTCATCTTAAACAAACAAACTTAACAAAATAAGCACATCGGAAAAAACAGGGAAGCAAACACTTCAGGGAGAAAAAAATATAAGGAGAAAGGATTATTTTCCCTTTCAGACATTCTCAATTCAACCAAGCATTAACTGTCAGACAGATGGCCTCACATTTGACTCAAGAGTAACTTAAGTATCAAAGGAGTTTACGCTCATCTCAATGAGATGTGTAAGCTGTCCATTTTTTGTTTTGACTGAACAAGCACAAACCATCACACCTCCACCACCATGCCTGACAGTCGGTTTTAGGTGTTTGTGCCTGCGAGATGCAATACTTGTATTTTGGCCACTCATTCCTGGGAAGATTGGCAAATGTACTGAATAGGGGTGGGACAGAGACACTGACTTCTCTAAAAGAGACACGGTAACTGGTTTGCGAGAAGGAGACGAGATTAGATTTTCACAGTATTGTTAAGAAAAACTCATGAATGAAATAAAATAATGGAACAGGTGTTTTTTTATTTGTTTTTATGGCATTATATGAACAAAACAATACAGGTAGATTAATCACTGCGCGCTGAGCGGTGTAGGATTTCTGATTTTCTAATTTAATTTCTTCTTATATATCACTTGTGTCTGTTACCATTTAGTGTTAAAACAAAGACACCCAAAATCCCACCTGTCACTTTTGTTACTAAGTTTTTCTTAGTTTTTTTGCTAAGGTGAATTTGATTTTATATATGTATATGTATAGGTATTTCTCTTGAAGCTAATTGTGTTCATTAAAAGCGAAAGACTTTCAGACACTTAATCACTTCTTGACTTCGTTGCATTCAATATTGCCCTCAAAATGAAACTTTAAATTGATCTAATTGATGCTTTTACTACATTGTCTCAATCAAAATAACTTACAACTTATGAACAATTTAATAAGAACACACGACCAGATTGAATGTTCTCAGTTCATTTTCCTCTCATGTGACATGTTTATGTTTGGGTTTCTCTTTGTTCTTCATATTCTGCTTCTCTCTCTCTTTACTCTCTCTCCTTCTGACTCTGTTTACACTGCCGCCAACTGTCCTTTACATTCTCTCCTTATACCCTTTTTATCAGGCTGCTGATCCAGGCCGGAATCGACATCAATAGGCAAACCAAAGCAGGCACTGCCCTGCACGAAGCTGCCCTGTGTGGAAAGACAGAGGCAGTGAGACTCCTGCTGGAGGTTAGTGGAACTCCCAAAAAACTGGGACTGCTCTGTCTTATTTCTTCCCAAGTGGCTCCTGTACATTGATGCCACCATGTTTGACCGGTCAAATTAGCAAGAATGTTTTTGCCCTCAGCTATAGTTTCACTCGGTTCAGGAATATTAGTTTTGGAAATATGGGATTTATGATGGAAGAAGATTGTCAAAAGCTTTTACCAGATTGTTCCGGCTGATTATCTACTTCAACTCTCTTTGCTGATGGCAAAAACTGTACATGCTCACATTAAAACTATTGTTTATTGTTATTATATCATATTATATTGTTTATTCTAATATAGTTTATGTTGGTTCAGATCAACTCGATTAGAAAACAAACCCATAATTCTCCTTTAAAGGTTGGATATTACAAGCCTATTTGACTATGAATGTGTGACTTTACTCTTTTGTGGATGCTGTTTTTAAGGTCTTACATTTCAGCTCATGTAATTAACAGCATCCCCTCCTTTTAGCGAAAATCTTGGGTTTACCCCAACCCTCTTTTCCGTATACATAGTCATTATACACCATTAGAAAGATTAAGTTAAAATACAAAAAAATATGTAACTCGCCTTTAGCAGGTCACATTATTACAAGAATAGATACAATTTCAACAGGAGGCATTGCTTTCCTGTTGGCAAGGGTCCATAAGCAGACGACTGATGGAAGAATGCTTAAAGGCAGGAACAGCTGCTCAGTAGCCATTACTAAGGCCTGACAACACCTAGAAACACCTGGAGTACTGAAACTGATCTAGTTTTACCCAAAATAAGTCGGTGAGAACAGCTGGAAACCCTGTGGAATTTAGTAACAAGATATACAAAAGTAGATTAAAAACGAAAGATGAAAAATGAAAGCTGCAGTTGGGTGATGTGTGAAAAATGACCATTTAGCTGTGGGTTTGGAATTTTGTTTTCAACTGAAAGTTGTTCGTTTGTTAAGTTAAGATTTCTAAAAATCTGCTTTTCCAGCAGATGGGCTAATCAATTTGTTAATATGTGTTGTGTAACATTTTTCCGACATTACACATTGAAAAAGCTTTAGGATAACCATTCAAACTGGGAATATCAACTGTAATGAATGTAACAAATGCATAAAAAGTGACACTGTTTATTACTCAAAACCCAGTTCAGGGCATATTGTCAACATGAAATTAGTTCAGAATCTTACTTTCCTTGTCTAAAATTGACAGAATAAGAACATTATTAATTCCCTTGGATGCGTTTTATCTTTAGATGCACAGTAGTTATCCATTTCTGAAAAGTATCTTGAAAACACTCTTTATCCTCATGTGATAAAAGGGGGTCATAGCTATGAATAATGTTGCTCAACGGGAAGAGAGAAATTATGGCAATGACCCACTTGTGATGGGGATATTAAAAGGCCACGAGGTTTTGAAAACAAAAGAACCATGATGTTTTAATCACTATATGTCCTCTGGCATAAAAAGATAACCATTTTATTTTGACCTCCAATTGTGAAAGGCTGTGAGTCTTTGCCCTGAAGTGCTTTTGGATCAAATTCATCTTTGTTTATTTAACCTACATTTGATTCCACTGATGTGAATTTAGTATTGCTCTGCTGAAAAATATAATAAGGACAGAGTTTAAAAAAAAAAGCCACAGGATATTAGGGCTATGTTTCATTGTTGACATCCTCATGAAAAATGTTCTCATCCCTGAATTGCATATAGACATTCTGCATTATGAGTTTTGAGCACTAGAGACAACGTTTTATTGTATTTGACTGGTTTGAAAGGTTATATAAGGCCCAAATGATTCATTTCTCAGCATATGAATCAAAGATGAGTTAACTTTTTCATTTGTTTTCAAAATTAAATGAAAAACAGAAGGTAACTTTTAGCTTTTTATATGCTTAACTGGGGTAAATAAAGGTAAAGATGATAAATAGTAAGTTTGAATGTGAAAAGTGATCTGCTTTTTTCCCTGCAGAGTGGTATCAACGCTGCTGTGAGGAACACATACAGCCAGACTGCTCTCGACATCGTCTACCAGTTCACCGCAACGCAAGCTAGCAGAGAGATAAAACAACTGCTGAGGGGTAGGCTGCTCAGATGGATGGATGGATGAATCAGGCAGAAATTGGAAGAGGGGTGTTGTATTTCTTAGAGTGGCTCAGTGGCTGAAAACGGAACAGCAACTGCTATCTTAATGTGAAAGTGATTGGCTTAAAGATTTTGTAACATTTTGTATTTACACTCATCTGGCATAGTGGCAAACGTGAGATGAGAGCATTTTCGCCACTCATTTCACTTAAAGGTGAACATGTAATGACAGCCACAAGCCGTAAAGCATAGCTCGGCACCAAGACCAGACAGGGTTGCAAAATTAAATATCCTGCACATTTCCTAACACACTTGAGACAGATCATAAATTATCATTTTTATCAGTCTTTCAGCATTGGTTTAGATCCAACCACAAGAAAAGACTAAATGGTCCTGCAATGTTTAGCTGTTACTTAGAATAAGGCATCATATATTTTTTAACAATATGGAGCATATTTGAAATGGAAAAAGTCATATCACAGCTTTTTCTTTGTGATGAGGTCAGAATGTATCTCATAAATCACAAACGAAAAACGTGGAGCCTAAATAACGGCACAATCATTCACATTGAGACATCTTTGCCCCACAGATGCATCAGCAGCTCTGCAGGTTCGGGCTCTCAAGGATTACTGCAACAACTATGACCTGACCAGCCTCAACATCAAAGCAGGAGATGTGATCACGGTAACAGGAATAGAGCCATTCTATCTGCATTCAAACCCAAAAGCCTTCATGCAACACATTCATTTGTTTTGATGTAAAGTGAATGGTGATTAACATTAATATAAGCAATCATTTTATTAACTAATACATCATGGCAGTGGAGCCAACATTTACCCTTTTTAAAGCATGGAGTAGGACCCAGAGTGCTGGCACTGGCAATGGGAAAAGGGGGAACAAAATTAGATTTATTCATGCAAGAAAAGCAACAATTGTGGCCAAAATGGATTTAAAAAAACTAAATTAGGAAAAAGCTAAATATCCTGGATGCCTGGCTGTATCTATTCTCCTGGTACTGCTCAGGTTACTTGTCTTAAGGGGATAAGGGAGGCTGTTAGCTCTGGTCATACAACAGGATTTGGAAACCCTTTTGAGGATACTTTCCAAAACAATTATGTATAGGTATACCCTCTTTTTTTGGAGACGGTACATTATAACTTCTGTGTTTTAGACATTATCAATGGATTTCAAATATTGCAATTATCCTATTGCCTATTCATTTAAGAACATTAGATTTGTTTTATGCAATGTTTTTTGTGTGTAAACAAAATTTCAATAAAAAGATTAATTAGTAGCAGAATTAAACAACTAAATACTAAGAGTGACCAAAACCAAAGACCAAAAGATAATGTGAATAAGGAATCCAGGGACCAACGACGACTGAATAAAAGAAGAATTAAAGAAACCAGAACGAGTAAATACTGATGACGGTTATTGCTAAGTGAAGGTATAAGCTGAGGAGAAGGAGCTTAATGACTAGAACATGAGGGAAACAAAAGAGGAACATGACCTATAAACAAGGAAAGCAAACTAATAAACAAGACTAAGATCAACTGAGAACGACACCAGAATTCAAGGCAATGTACAAAACAAATCACAGGCTAGCTCCCATTTGTAGACAAATCCTCATTTGTCTACAAATGTGTTTTACAGAGACTTGTTCTAACTCGCCATTATTAATTCATATTTACAAGAACTTATTCTACCTTTGGGTAATTACTACAATAGCAGTGAAGCTATGCTAGAAGAACAGCAAACCTTGATGTGTGCTCGCCAAACTCCCCCATTTACTCGACAGGTTTTGGAGCAGCACCCTGATGGACGCTGGAAGGGCTGTATCCATGACAACCGAACAGGAAACGATCGAGTGGGCTACTTCCCATCCACTCTGGTCGAGGTCATCAGCAAGCGCACAGGTGTGTTTGCTCTCATCTGTGTGCGTGCATGTGTGGGAGTGGGACAAAACGCCTTTTCAGTTTACTCTTAACAGCGGACAGGTCCAAAAAGGATTATCAGCAAATCCCCCACCTGAGCTGAACCCAGAAGAAGTGCAAGAAAACCGATTATTATGGAAAAAGGAAGCTGCACTTTGGCCAGCAAGTAGCAAAATGTCTAAAACTGTTTCAGTATGTTATGAAAAAGAGAGACAGAGATAGAAAATGTCGTCTAAAACACTGGAGGAAGTCAGCAATAGGCTTTAGGCTCAACAGTCCTCGGGACAGATGTTCAACAGCTGCTAGGAGTCGGAAGATGGGCTCTATTGGTTAGGCAGCTTGATTGGTTATGTGTCTGGTGCTTGAAAAACTACGAACTGCTCTCAAATTCCCACCGTGAGCCAAACTAACAAAGGACAGCAACAGACCCAGAACTCAATATGGCAACAGATTAAAATCAATCCATTAAAAGCTAATGAGAAGTCACCCGTTGATGTGGACTACGGACCAGAATTTGGTTTGTTTAATCAAGGACTGCATTGGAAACAAATTAAAGTTTTTCAGTTCAGTTCTACTTCTCAGGAAAGCAAAAAAGTTCATCATCAGGGTTTGACTAAGTTTAAAATTAAGTAGATACAATCACAGATTGTCAACATATGACATATTACATATTACAGCTCTGTATTTTTTAACAGAACCTAAAATCCAGAAGCCATGCTGGAAAAGCTAAATCGACCCTCTTTGGTAAGAAGCTGCTTACAGATGTACTTGTGAGCACCTCTGTATGAGCAGAGGTTTTGGCAGTTTGCTGGTCTGTAGCTTTTAGAGTCCATTTTTATAAAAAAGACAGACTGTTTGCTAGTGGGAAGCATTCAAGAAGGAGAAACATTTTCCATAGATGGGATGCCTATCTTAGACTCAAGTAGAATCAAGTAGTTAAATCTTAAAGTTCAGGACAGTGCAATAGGGTTAGGGTTAGGGTTAGGGTTAGGGTTAAGGTTAGGGTTAGGCGGATGATTTGGGTCGTTTCCCAGTCACAGGACCTGGACCATGAACTCACTCCTCTGTATGCCAAAGTAGTCTAGAGTCAAATGTGAGGCCATCTGTCTGACCGCTAAAGCATGGCTGAAGATTCCTCCAAGCTGTTGACACTAAAGATGGGTCTCCGCTCTTCAGAATCTGAATCGTGGGAGTTTCAGAATTCTACACACTGCTTCTGCATGGCAGCTTACTTTTTTTTGTATAATATGTCATGACATAGTGTACTGTGTTGGCAGTTGTACTTTGTCATTCAAAGTTAATCATCTGAGGATGTTTTTACCTAATTGCCAACTTTTTCTGAAACACCTGAAACAGTTCTTTTGTCACAATCTGATAGATGGAATTAGCCACCATAAAACAAATTGTAAAGCAATCCCTTTTGGAGTCATTATCTCCGTTTTCTGAAGCGTTTAAATATGTTAGCATCACTTGGCTGGTGGCGTTAGCTCCATATTAACTGAGTACATATGAGAAATCCCTGGCATGAATGAAAATACGCTTATTTCCCATAATATCAAACATTTACGCTGAATGTTCATCATTTAAAGCTTTCGTTGCCTGGTAAGCATGCTGTCCAGCATCTTGGCCCCATTATCTAGCCATATCCCCTCCATCATTTATTAGCACAATGAGCTCCAAATCTTCTGGGTGAGTTCCACGAACCATCTATATCATCCAAATGTGCTGCAAAGCCAGAAGGTTTCATCAGTGAGTTTTTAGATGTGTTTTGGTGTCAGTTTATCTGTTGAGTTCTGTCTGTCAATCCATCTTTACTCTCTGGAGTACCGTTTCAGTCCACTTGTGTCGGTCTATCAGCCTTTCTCCAATTGTTTTCTATTGCATTTTAAACCCCGCTGGTAGTCACATCAAGTCACCTTTCTTTTCTTTGTTCAGCGACATTTGTATTGATGTTTACGTCTGATTGCTTTTACACGCCGAATTAAGCTAGGAGAATTCGGCTTCCCAAACGTCTACATTTTGTTTCTGGAAATACCTGCGCTTGCATAGATCATTTACCAGCAACATAGGGGTGTAGCAGCTGTTTAGTGAGGGAAAAAAAACAGCTTTAGCACAGCCACACAGACTGACAACCGCTGGGGCATATACACCCACACCTGGGGGCAGCAGCAGCAGTTCTTGCAATAATTTTCATTTACTCAGCTGTTTGAAATGTATTTATTTATTTTTTCTTATGAGTATGTCATCCTGCTGTTTCCAGTAACAGGGATGCATGCGTTCAGCCTTTCAAAACTGATGCCAATAGCCAACAAAATCAAACTTCTTCATTTCAACAGTAGTGAAAGACGAGTTACAAGAACAGCAGTTGTGATCGGACATATGTTTTATGATTGAAATATATTTTGCTCAAAGGAAGTGGGAAAGATCTTGTTTTTTTCCATTTGTCGTTACCTTTAGTTTGAAATTATAAATAAGCACAAAAAATTGAGTTGTAATGGTGAAACACCTAAATAGCAACTTTAACACAGTTACAGTCAGATGATTATGGGTAATTATTTGTAGATTGTAAAGTAAAATTGTCTTGAATGTGTCACTTTCACAATCATTTTATTATTGCAGGGCTATGGCAGCGTTATAGAATAAACTGGAGTCCTGGTAAAGTGTGCTTCTCTAAAGATTCTGTGAGATTTCAGCTGTAACAGGGTTGGGAGAGCAGTCCTAGAGTAAATGTTACGCATTTGGTAGAAGTGCAGCATGAGTGTCTAAAGGAGACTAAGACATAGTTAATTTATGGCTACTTTGGATGGAAATTGATGAATACTCTCCTGTCTGTAGAGTGAACCGTGCAGACTTTATTTTTTGCAGTGAACACTTTCAACTGAATGCTAACTTATACTCATGAAGTAAAACAATAATTTGTAGTTTGAAGTGAATCCTATTGGGGCATCAAAGAAATAGGCTGAACCATCTTAGCATGATGTTGGACTTTTAATAACGCACTAGCACATTGTTGTGTGTTGAATTGTAAAGGTTGTAGGACTGTGTAGATAACGGCAAATGACACTGTGTAGCTAATGGTTAAATTTATTAATGGTGTTCAAAGGGATAACGTTCTTTAGTTTAATCATCCAGCTAGAAAGATTCACAAACTATCCGATGCTAGAAAACACTGTTGAGTTGAGGTTGGCATCCGTTTTTTCTTTTTTTGGGGGCTAAAAATAGCTCATGATGTGGTTAGTTCAGACACCGTCATACAGTTACTATTGTGCAGTGAATATTATGACCTTTAAGCATATATCTGCTTAGAAACTGAATGTTTTACTGTTCAGTGTTACAATTGACTAAAAGCCAGATTCACAACTAGTGGATATTTAGCACTTTATACACGTGTACATTTTCAGAAATTTAGTTTTCATGAAGGGTTTTGACAAAAAGATCACAAATGATTTTCTGTTTATATCCTAAAATGCATGTAGAGACCATGATTAATTTCTTAGCATACAAAACAGTTGTTCAGTTGAATTTATAATGTATGTAAATTAACCTGTTTACAGCAAAATTACAGAACACACTGTGTAATGTTTCCATATAATTGGTCTTCTATGTAACTCAGTATAACAAATAGATGTTAATTGTATAAAAGCCCATCAGTCTCTTCTTCCATCATACACAATACAGTTTTCTACCTCTCCATATTGTACATTTTATGTAATTGTTGCTCACATTTGCTCGTCCTCTCCTTCCATTTTTCTGATATGTGCATCTGCTGCATGCTTCACCTTCCTCCTATTGGTTTGAGTTCTAACTTCAGTCTTTGTTTTTCATTTTCTGCCCCCCTTTTTTTCTTTTGTGTAATTCTCTGTTTTGTCGTCTGTTTGTCACGTGGCGGTGGTTCACTGTTGGCTGGTTGTGTGTGTGTGTTTTCCGTGTGTCGTCACGGTGGGTGTTATCTAGGTATGGCCAGCACAGTCATTTGCACTCAACAGTTTCAAAAGATACCGCTGGTTGCCCCGGCGACGGTTGCCCCTACCAACGCGGTTGTCAACGGCAACGACACCACGTTCCATCAGATCCATATCCTGCCTCCACCGCCTCCTCCTCCACCACATTCCCATCAGCCACTGCTTCCACTTTTCACTTCCTTTGGCTATAGCAGGTCGCCCGTGACAACTCCTCAGGGAGACACACCCACTGCCCCAGGTACACGCCCACTTTTCATTATTGTTATTATTATTATTGTTATTATTATTATTATTGGTATTAAAGCTTCAAGGGATGCCTTCCTCTGTGTGCCTGTAAAATGTCCAATTCTGATTGGATGAGGAAAATTCTTATTGGCATTTTCAATGCTTTTTTGAGAAGGCATCCATTGAAGCTTTTTGTTATGAACCATTTTTTGTGTAAGTTTATGTGTTGTTCATACTGTTTAACTTTTTTTCTGTTTTTGCTGTTGCCATTTTCATTACTGACAGCCGATCGGTTTCTGAAGAGAAGTCTAAAGTGTTAGAATACTTGCTATAATCTGTTGCCATTTAGGTGGCTACGGAGCAAATCTTGCTCACGTGTTGCGATATTTTTTTGCATTAATGCTTTACAAACGAACGACCACGGAAAGACAGCCATAAAAGATAACTTAGTGAGCTTTTATCTTTCCATTCCCACATAGTATGGAAAATGGAATTTGAATTATGGTACAGAAACGCTTCCATAATGGAAGACTAAAACTGACTAAAGGAAAAGAAACAAAAAAATATGTAAATATTTTTTAAATAAACATTTTTTTATAAATAATTTTCGTATACATTCCTGTATTTGTTTATTCAAGTCTTTTTCAAATTTAAACATAAACTCGTTTTGCAATGTATTATTGCGATTTGCAATTCCAAAGTTGGCACATTGCGTAAAACATCAATAAAACCCTAGTACAATGATTTATACAGTTTTTTCAGCCCACATTAAACTCGATACACTCCAAACACTCAATATTTTATGTTTACACCACTCTGCAAATGCCCACTCATTTAGAATGTATCTTTATTAAACTGTTCACCCATGACATTAACATAAAATATTGTATCATTGTCATGTAATTTCATATTTCAGACATAAAGTTAAAGCAATATAGGTGACCTTTGAACCACAAAGGAAAATATTTTATAAACTATTTATTATTTCATTTTCAACCTTTTAAAGATTAGCCATATTAAAAATGGATTAAAATCAATTATTAATTTTATATAAAAAGTCTCATTAACAATGAACAAATAGAGATATAGTTTACATGTTTGTTTTTTTAAACAAATTTTGATTGTAATTTCAAACTAAAATGCAAAAGTAAATGGATTATTCTGTACATCATGGTTCTTCAAACACTTTTGAGGATATGATGATGCAATAAGTCTAAAAGATATTTGTAACAAATATGATACATACATGCATTTGCTTGCATGATAATTTGTTTGTCTTTTTTTTTTTTTATATTCAATAAAGGCCATTTCAGGGCTCCAGTCCACAAGTCAGAGTTGCTCCTAATCCAGTTAAGAAAACCCAATCAAATTACGGTTGTTCAAAATCAATCCATATCAATTTCAGGACACAAAGCCGCCGTCATCTCAGGACATCAGACCTGTAAGGAAGACTAGCATTCAAATTATTGGTGCTCCTATGTCTCCAGCATAAGATTAATCTGAGGCTGTGAGACTGGATTGTGTTGGAAGGTTTACAGGAATCAGTTGTAATATTCCCAAAAACTTCTCTGTGAGATTCTCACCAACCTTTGGCCACTTGTGTTGGTTTGTTATTTAGTTTAATGTGTTTCCTTATTTTTATTTGATTTTCGTCAGATAATTTCCCTCCTTATGCCCCCACCTCCTCCTCCCCCCTTTCTTTAAATCATAACTGCTCCAGCAGCCTAACATTCATACTAATTTTACATACAAACGCACCCCATACATCCTGACCCTGACCAGACAGATTTTTCCGTTCTATCCTTGTCCTGTGCGTTCAAGTCCTGTCTGATTGTTTCTAAATATCTTTTACTCACATTGTCCTTAAACCCATCATTTGTGTGTGTATGTCTGAGTCCAATCTTGGGATGCTTGGTAAAAAGTTGGAAACTGCTGCATCTGTGGTAAATCCCGGTTTGATATAACTTGGAAGTGACACTATCAGCTTGAGACGCGACTTAGGAAACTGTCGTTTTAGCCAAGCCTCAATTGAAGATGTTGTTTTTCTGCAAATGGAGAAATGGATATTCACATTGTTTACCCAGACGCAACGTTAGGAGTAATTTTTTTTTTTTCCGAAATGACAATCCTTGCTGAAATTGTGGCTCGCATGCAAAAATGACCTGGTAACAAAAGTCGAAATGATAGAAAATGTCACCCATTATGTTCTGCAGGTAAGGTGTATGCTAACTGTTAATGTCTCTGTGAATGGGTTCCTTCTTTAGATGGCCTTTTGTTCCCTCCTGTATAACTTCTTCCTTCCACAATAAGCCCAAAAAACAGCCACCAGTCATTTTGGATACGATTTTTCCTCTGTGCATTGATGAGTTGTGGTTCAAAACTGCAGTTTGTGGCAGAGTCGAAGGCTTAATTGCTGCTTGGTCTCTTGGGTGAGATCACATGGAGGGATGCAAAACGGCCACAAGAAGGAGCTGTGTTGTCATATGAAGGCATAGGGGAACATTTTAATGTGTGTGTTTCTATGGAGCACTGTTGGTCACACATAGAAAACCATTATTAAACCTTTATCAAAATGGTTATAATGGTTTATGATGCTCTCCAAATGCACTACAGCAGCACCATTCTTATAAGCCCAACATATATAATCACACACTTACTGATGCATTATATATGGACGTGTATGTACATTATGGAATATATGTGTATATACACAGCTATTTGTGTAATGTATATTTATTTATGTACATTGAGTATATAAATGTTTTCACATATCTTTATATGCTCTATTTTTCTGTGTGTATGTGTGGACACGACAGTGTGTGGGAAAAAGAAAGAGAGAAAACATGGTGTGTATGTTTGAAATGGTTCAAAACTCCCTCCAAAAACTACAGTTGCTATCTGCTGCAGGTATTAGGTAAGATATAATTCGAAACGCAACTTTTGTAAAAACTTTGAAATATATAAGGACCATGGGACAAGTTTTTAAAACAACTTTGGAAACTCTAGCTAAAATGTAGCCTATTGCATAGAAGTCAAATCTTCTTTTTTCAACTGTATACTGGTTGAAATAATAATTTCCATTTGAAATATGCAAAAATCAACATTAACAAAAATCTGTACTTTTATTTTATGATGGTACTTATTTATATTTATATATCTGAAGCTGTACACTTATCCAAAAAAAATGGATAATCTATAGGACAGAAGGGAAAGATAAATTTAAAGATTTTACCATTAAAAATATTTATATAACATTTTTTCCTTTAATCTGAATCTAAACATAGATGTGTCCGGATAGCAAGCTATAAATTTACAGATACTTTTCTGAGTTTCGCAAATATTTAGCACCTCAGTCTTTATTTTTTCCTTGTCGATTTATGATGTTCAGTAAGTGAGTTTATTTTTCAAATAAGACACGTAATGTTTTTAAAAAATGTTTTAATCCCATGTCATTCAGGATTCCCAAGTTATGTTCATGTATAAATCACTCATAGCATGGGACTAAATCACACTAAATTAATCCAAAGGTCTAAAAAACATATGTTCTTTCTTGAACGTTTAATTTATTAGCCTCAACTCATGTCTAAAGTAGCATCAAAGTCAGGTTTATTTATATACAAAGATATGTAATGTTGAATCTGCAGTATTAGATTGATAAAACTGCCTAAACTTCTAAATGTAACATTAGATAGCTTTGCTTTATCAAGACACTTTGGTATTTTTCTCTGTTGAGCTAGGGTTAGGGTTAGAGTAGCCTTTTGTCTTTGGGTTTTAAGCCATTGATCAAATTACAAAAAACAAATGAAGTAATTACCTGTGAATATGGCAGTCCTTTAATAAGCAGCGTAAAAACAAAAGAACAGAAATAGTCCTGGACTGAAGGTGAATTGCTAATGTTGCATCATACATAAAAAGCAACCATTTGCTAACAAAGAGCTGCCTTGCGGGGCTTTTCTCTGCTGCACGCATCTGGCTAGCAAAAGAACCCACGTCATCATCTGGTGCTGCTTTCCAATCTCTGAGAGTATCTGAGTGTGAAATCCAGCAGTCTCTCACGCCACTTTAGGGTCGGTTAGCGGTTAACGGCGGTGTTCTGTGTTGAAGGTTGTCGAGGCTCAGAGGCAAGTCCTCACAGTTCTCCCACCCCGTCCAGTGGGCCCCATGGAGGCTCCAACGAAGAGATCTGGGTTCTGCGCAAACCCGTGGCAGGTAACTAAGCCGCGCTGCGCTGGGCCCTCAAACCTCTGACTCCTTCGAGTCTGGCCAGGGGCCAAACAGTATCTGACGTCCGCTGGGCAAAATCATCCATGTGTCCCCGAGAGCCGAATCCACCCATTGATTTATTATTATTTTTTCTTAGTCATACGATGATGGTGTTTAAAGGCTTTCAGATACTCTTTGACCTGCTCCTGACAGTCTCCCATGTCCCGCTTTACCCCTCCATCAGCAGCTTAGCTGACCTCAGTGCAGTTTGCAGGCATTTGCATCAGTCCAAAGTCTGTGTGTATGCGTCTTTTCCGACTGGTGGCGCTGGGATGTGAACAGAGCAAAGCGAGAGAGAAGTCTGTGTGTGCGCGTGTGTGTGTGTGTGTGTGTGTGTGAGCGAGAAGCACGTCTTTCTTCTACTTTTTTGTTGGTCGTGTCAGTCGTCCGTTGGCCTGTCCGTCCGTCTGTCCTGTCCATCCAACCACACGCTGCCCAGTGCATTTCAATGGAGAGTCACATCTTTTACAACGTAGATTGGGATATCAGCTAAACCACAATGTGTGTGTGCTTGTGTGTGTGTGTGTGTGTGTGTGTGTGTGCGTGTGCGTGTGACTGTGACTGTATGTATCCATCTGTCCGCTGCCCGTGTGCATTTGTACCGGACAAAATCTGGACGTCTGCATGGCCATGTGACTGCACATGGTGTACGCCTGCGCATGTGTGCGTTTGTGTGCGTTTGTGCGTTGCAGGCGGGGATCGCAGCAGTGTGGGGAGTTCTGGAAGTGTGACCAGCGTGAGGTCCTCAGGCAGCGGTCAGAGTGCTGGCAGCACCGCACACATACTCCACGCACAGGCAGAGGGTGTCAAGGTACACGCGCACAAACAAACACACAAACCTTTCCTTCTCAATCACACCTAATTCTTAGTGAGACTTCAAACTGTTAAATGATTGGATATAAAGAGCTACATCAACATTAGATACATAGTAAAAAGCAGGAAAAGGGGGTTTTGTGCATTTCTACCTTGCTATATAGAGTGTTTAATTACATTATAGCGGCAGTTGTTAGTCATTATTCAAATCCATAAAAGTTTTAACATCTCCTAAAAGGAAGAAAAACTTCATTCCTATATTGTACTGTGACTAAACAGAGATGTTTTCGAAAGTGTAAAGAAAGCTTAAAGTTGATACAACAAAAAGGGAGAAAACTTTTCAAAGATGAATATGTCAGGGTGTCAGAATTGGGTATAAAAGGAACATCCACCAATGCACAACTTAATTCATGAGCCCATGTCATCACAATTTTTCAAGCAAAGATTTTACCCTCCAGAAAGCTTTATAGCCAAGATGTAAATTTGTTTACATCAGTAATTAGATCATTTTCCAACCTAAAGTCTTTAATGAGATGATGACGTTTTGTGGATTTTAAAGGAAGAAAGAATTCAAGACTTCCTTTTGATGATTGATATTGAATACATCAACATTGAATGAAATAGTTTTCTATATTTTTTTCATTAATTTAATCATTTATTATTTCTGTTGTTTATGGATTTATTCTTTTATCCGCGCAATAGAAAACTTGCCTGCTGTTATTTCTTTCAATTTTATTGAGAACAGAAATTGCTAATTCTGTGACCTCAGCTTTATTTCTTATGACAGTTAATTTATTGTGTTTAGTCAACAAGTCTGCTCTTTGTTATGAAATGAGAGTAACCAATTATCATGGGAAAAAACAAGCTTTTAACACAAACGTTAACATTTGACTTTTTATTGGTGTTGTGGCTGATTGAGAGAGGCTATCTCATTATGTCAGGCCAAAAGTTAAAAGTTTAACCACACTTCAACTAACAAAACAAGCCTTTCAAATGCAGACACAGTGGCTGAGAGAGGCCGAGATTAAAAGCATCTCTTTAATATTAGAATCTAAATTTAATAAGGATTGTCCTTTCATGACTGTTGCATGTTGAAAAGCTTTTCCTATCAGGGGTCAATTCAGAGAGCAGGCCTTGAAAATCTGGATTTTTTTGCATGGTCGCTCACATTTACAAATATATGTGACTTGTATGTGAGATCCAGGGTGAACTAAAAACAAACTGTAAAGTGTCTTAATAAAGTATATTAATAGATTAAGAATTACTTAATTCATCAAAACTCTGAAAATGAAATGCTAGTTATAGATTTGTATTAACTCAAAGATGACTACAGCTTTTTGGAATTTAGCAGCATTGTAATTTAGCTATGGAGTCCTTTTTTAAGTAATTTGACTTATTACGGAAATAGAGCTGGATTTGGAGCTTTTTTTAAAGCGAGGTTGTGTGACTTATGAGCACTCAGTACTATAACCGCAGTGTTTGGAGCACGCTCCGTTTCATAATCACCCATTTCTTACTGTCACTTAGTTGCTTTTTAGGGATCAGAACAACAGAACTATGAGTCACAGCTTACCAGTGGAAGGATACGCAAGTGACTCACAGTACGGCGATGCAGAGAAATGATAAACTTTGTTTGGCGACAGAATAAACAGCGGCCAATAACTATGGAGTGCTTTTCAAACCACTTTTAAATCTTGAGGTTGTCTTAGATGCCTTATCCCTTCTTTTCCACCCTAAGAAAATGCTTTTGATCCTTCCCTTCAACGTGTAGGGAACCAACTACTCAAAATTACCTAATATAACACAGCATTTAAAAAAATCTTTTAGTTAATCGAAAATATTTTATATCCATCCATCCATTTTCTATACTGCTTATTCCCAATGGGGTTGCCGATGGTCTGGGGCCTTTCCCCATTCAAAAAAATTGTTTCCACGTTTAAGTTAGCACTTGCTGACAATAAAATCTTACAGTTACCATCACGGTTTTAACTAAGATGGGCCCACATTTAAAAAAAACATAGCCACTGTCACATAGGAATCGGTGGCCACAATATCAATAACAAGAAAAATCCATCCTTAAGGAAAATATGCTTGAATTTCTATATTTTAAGCTACAAGGATGACTGTTTATGTTACGAATGCAAGTAGTTGCATGAATATAAACAGATATATGTGTCTCTGTGTATTTGCAGCTTTTAGCCACGGTCCTGTCACAGTCCGCCAAAGCCAAGGAGCATTTGCTGGACCATTCCAAGTCTGTGGACCAACCTGCAGGCAAGACAGGGGTTCTTCAACCCTGTTACTGTGTTTTAATGCGCTTTATACGCTTAAAAAATGTGGCGTGCGGCACTTCACATTATTGTGAATCTGGTGAGTCAGGCTGAGAGAAGAAAAAGATGAAAAAGGACAAGGAGAAGTTCAGTTAGAGAAAAATAAGTCACAATTCGGTGGTTTTTAGATAATATCACCAACTCACTTCTACACGCGCATATACACACATCTTGGCTTGTTGAGCAGACAGATGGCCAAAGCAGGGGATGTAGGAGGAAGTGCAGAAGCGTATGATTGGCTCAAAATGTTTTTGTGTTCCAGAAAGCGAGCGTTTGATTGGTTGCCTGCCGTTGCAAGGAAAGAAAGTGAGCAGAAAAAAGTCAGAGGCATAGGGTAGAGGTCAGGTGGCGGCCTGAGTCAACTCAAGTGTTGTTTGATGGAAGTACACAACGATAGGCCCCGACAACTTGTAACTGGCCAGTGATACTCCCGCTTGCCACAGGCTCTACCAGCTCCTCTCGGACATCCAGCCAATCAGGCTGTCCACTCCACGAAGCGCCGCCTTATGACGCCATGGCAACCAGGAAGGGGGAGGGACCGGGCGAAGGAAAGGTAGGACAGTCCCGAATCCCCACTGATTCTGTCTTCTGCAAAAAAGCACACAAGTCTCATGCAGGCAGTCGCCACCACCACCAGCCCTCTAACTTCACCGTGATGAGACCGCAGCTCCTCAGTCACCTCAACCACACTTAACACTCACCCTCACGCCTCACCCTCTCACACCTGTATGCAAACGCAAAAGAAAAAAAAACACACACACACACACCGCCAGGATGTCCCAGCGGTTTCTGTCACAGCTGGCTTCGTCCATACTGCGAGTGTTCGGATGCAGCCACGACGCGGTGAGTGTGTGAGTGGATCTTGCGGGAATCTGTGGACAGAGGACTCTTTTGTGCGTGTGTGTGTGTGTCTTCTCTTATCAGCTACCTGCAACTCATCATTATTCACTCCTTTTAGTTGCGGCTTTCTCTTCTTCCACTGCAGTCTTTTCCTTTTTTTTTTTTTTTTACTCGGATAAACCTCTACACTCTATTTTTTGTGCCACAGGCAACATAACTCCAGTAATTATTGTGCGTATGTGTGTGTGTTTATGTGTGTGTGTGTGTGGTGGCATGTGCCCAGGAATGTGCACAGTGTGGGTGGACTACTTCGACACAATAAGTGTGAAATCAGAGCTTCCAGCATGTACATTAATATGGCAGTTACTTTAGTATGTTTGTTTAGACATTGATTTAACTCCATTTTCTATTTATTTTTATTATATATTTAATTTTATTATATATTTATATATTATTTAAAGATGATAAACCACAGGGCATCTTAAATGGCAGGTGGTTGTGGTATGCATTCGGTATATGTGCACACTCTGCTATACAAGCCATGTTTCAGTGACCATCTGTTAGCTACAGTAGAGTCCTGATTCCTCATCACCCATCCTGATGGTTCCCTCAGCATGGTAACAAGGAGGAAACACTGATCATCACTGATAGATCGTGTGGATAAGAAGGATTGTCACAAGAAGAAGACAAGGAGAGAAGGATAAAGAGACAGCATGAACCAAAGAGACAACAGCGACAAGTGTTATCAGCTGGGTCCTCATTTGGGAACATTCTTAGATTTGACCAATTTAAAAAAAAAAAAAAATCTTAAAGGATTGTATTCTTTCATCTGATTCCTAGAACATGCCAAACAGAAAAACTTCCTAGAAGCAGGTTGTTAGACTCACCCACTTCTGGTGAAAAAAACTCTATTGTGAATCAATCTACAGCACCTACATAGCAACTTCCACTCATATAACACCAACCTGTGAAGGATTAGTCAGATAAGGACATAGACAAAAACACACAATACATTATTTTTCTAGAAAAACTCTCAGATATGGTAGAGGATACGGAAACCAGACATTTTATACTAGTTCTATAGAAGATGAAGAAAAGCAAACAAACCGGACTGGTCCACTGTTGCACTGAATTTGATGAGAACAGTTCTAAATAATAGAGAAAGTACATGGAAAAGACGTGAACTGTGAGAGAATGTAAGATCTAAAACTTTTAACCAAGAGTTTTTCTCACATTCTTTGTAAAGCTAATGCTAAATTAATCACAAAAACGGAAACCATATGAGCCTAACATTGCAAAAGAAGCATAGAAATCCCTTTAAGGCTGACGCATACTTCACGAGGAGCGAAAAATTTGTTCTTGTTCTCGAGGTGGTAAGAAGAAGAACGAAATTCCTTTGGGCTCTGACATACTTCAAGAGAAATCGGTCTACTGAACTCCTCAAAAGTCCTGCCCACTGACGGATACGTCACACCCGCGCTAAATTTAGTTTATGATGACGTGACAGTGTGAACAACACAGATCAGATGTAATCAAATCTGACCCAGGCCACCTGGATATGTGGCCATTCGATATGTGTCCTATCTTTTCCAATTTCTTTTCAAATGCGACCTGTGCGACCAAGGAGGATGATAATGAGCAGAACAGTCAATGGACAGATAGCGAGATCTTTCCCTCCATCTTGGCCAAACTTGAGGGACTTATAGGAAACGGGTGATTTTTGTTAGCATTTCCCAAGAAATGGCCAAGCATGGGAAAAATGTTCCCTGGTTCCAATGCTAAAGAAAAAAAAAAGTGTCTCCGGGCCAAAGATAAGGAGACAAAAGACTCAAACAACTTATTACAATGAGCTTAGCAACAAAGAAACTGTACCAAGCTAAAGCACACGTAACAAAGTAACTGTTGTTGGACATTAAATATTGTATGAAACAAGAAGAGTCACATCAATAGAAATTTATTTGACATGCTTTAATTTGATATACTTGTAAGGAGACAAATTGCCACCAGATTTAAAAAGAAACAGAGACATATTTGATTATGCTTAAATCAAATTGAATTATATGGTTTTGGCTAGTCCAGCTAATCTAATGTTAGCAAAGGAAATAAAAGGTTTTTCTAGTTTTCTATTTAATAGCCAGTTTCTTGTATTGAAAGATTTGTGGAATAAGGTAATACTTGAAAATGGTTATATTACAACTTAAATAATAACACGAAGCTTTAAAAAAATGAAAACAACTACATTTTAAAATGTATTTACTAATGTGTTCCGTGTCATTTTACAGAAAATATAACATGTAGAACTTTATAAAGTTACCCAATCAATGTACTGAAATACACAAACATCAGGACATTTTTTAAACATGAACATTAATCTCTTTTCTATGTAACAAGCTTAATGCGGCTATTCTCCTGGCCATGTGATGTGGGTGATACAAATTATATATATATATGGCAAAACGGTTTCCCTGTCATTTTTTTATTCGTCATTTAATTACCCACTATTTATGTGGCCCACTTTAAACATGAGAACATCTGCACAGCTTGCCAGTTTCACAGAATTTCCTGGAATAGACCAGTTGGAACTGACATTTCAGTAATCATAACAACTGCTTTGTGCATCTTTTTTATGTCTCTCCTTCTGAATTTCAAGTATAGTAACACCAAAGAGCATCAAATGGAGACTACCACACAGTCAATAACCTTCAACATTAGCTGTAGCATTTTCGATTTAGATCCAAAAACTGTGGTCCCCGTTCACCTCTGTTTGGCCCTGCTGATGAAAAGTGGCTGTTAGAGAAACCGACACGGTGCCAGTGACCGCATGCCCCCTGTTTTTTCTCCTGTAGAGCTCAGAGGCCGTTGTCCAATGGCTGAGCGACTTTCAGCTGCAGGTCTACGCTTCAAACTTCCTGGGTGCTGGGTATGACTTGCCCACCATTAGCCGAATGACCCCCGAGGTAAGGCATCTGAACCCTGACCCCACCCCCCCACCCCGAACCACAGAGAGCTCACACCACCACCTCCTCCAAGGACCACAATGGAAACAAGTCTGAACGACTTGGATTTGTGCTGTCCTTGATGCTTTCAAGATGCATGAACATCATTTCCCCTTAAAGAGAAAAAGAAAACCCTGTGAGCACAGTGCCCCCCCTGTCCTGGTTTAACTTATGTCCCTTCACCCGTGAACTGTCGTGGTGTCCCCCTCTGTCTCTGACCCCAGAATTGTCCCTGCACTGGCATGAAACTCAAACAGTGGAACTTACCAACATAGGTTTTTGTCATGCTGATGGTAAAGTTTCAGTTTTTATTTAATAAGTGACTGATAACCCCTTGTCAGTTTGATTTTTAGATGTCGAGACTGTCTACTTTATTCATAGAAAAGGCGGAAAAATGAACTTACTTTACATCTAAGGCTGAATTCCCAATACTTTAAGATGTTAGATTATATAAACATCAAAGTAGCCATATCAAAAGAGGGCATCTATCTTTTTATACATTACAGTATAGATACAATTAAGTTAAAAAAGTCAATTTAACAAAATTGATTAATCAAATATAAATTACAAATTCTTTGTTGCAGTTTTAATCAGTGTTTTCTATACATTTTTACATTTTTAAACTAAAATAAAAAATAATATATTCTGTAGAACTGTTTTTAACTATGTTATGGTTCAGTTAGTTTCAGAAATGTATTGCTGTATAGAGCATTAAACGTTAAACTGAGATTTGATCTTGCATTTCGAGACTTTCCCTTGATATTTAGGTTTAGAGCCAACCGCTTGTATTCCAGATATTGTCTTTCAACATGCCTGATTTTCCTGACATATTTTCCTCCATCATTTTAAAAGGACCAAAACATGTTATGTCCACATATTGGAATGTCCTGTTGTATGAAACTAAATACAATTGTTGTTTGTAAAGTACACACAACACAGCAAGTAGAGAATTTACTTTAGTTCATCAAGAGCATTCTAGGAATTTTTCCCTCCCAAAAATAGCAAGAACTCCCCGAGCTATTCTTGGACCTCATCATATCTGTTGGCCTCAAGGGGAAATAAATAAATCTGCACAAAGAAAAACAGCCTATTCATAACCCACATTGGATAATAGAATGACCAGAACTGTCGTCTGGACTTCAAACTTCAGATGTTGATTCTTGAAAAGTTTCATTTTCCAGATATGAGGTTGATTATATTCAATTATACGACTTTTTTTTTTTTGCAATACCCATTTTTCTAAAGTGCCTCGACACTTTTTTATATACAATATGATGATAAGCAAATATTCATGCTTCTACTGTCACATTCAATACATGTTTTAAGTCTATTTTAATCTAAAATAAGTACAAAGTTGAAAGCAAAATGATGGAAGAATTGATTTAAAAAATGAGTATCAGTTCTGATATAATGAATTAGATATTCATTCAACTGTGTATCATGTCAGAAATTGTGACCCCTATTGAGCCCCTGATGTAACATCCTGCACCAAAATATATTCAGTAATAAACGTCCAGTAGATGTGTGTATCTGCTCTGCCCCCTGACTCCTCCATCATCTCCAGCACTGTTGCTGCTGCCTGCTCCGAGCCTCGCGTACCAACATATAAATGCTTTTCAGCATTTATGAATTATTTATATGTCCGTACACCACATGCATGTTGAAGGGCTTACAGCGGGGCTCATCTCCTATATGAGATACAGCTTCTGATTCTGTAGTGGGTATAATCAGCCCTGTGGGTGTGTGGGCGTGAATATTAATGGATTCGGTCAAAGCGTGCTCCTATATGTATAATACACCAACTTATCAGTTGAACAAGCACAAAATATTCACGGTAATGCGCTTGTTTATCGGTTATGGCTCCAAAAAGAAATCGTACTCTGTGATTTCTGATTCACCTCTTTTACTTTCAAATGACTTGTTGTTTGAAAAGGAACTAAAACTGAATGATATGATGACAACTCAGGCTAGCGTTGTTTTGTTTTGTTTTTTCTTCCTACCATATCAGACATTTGCTTCCTCTGCCCTCGTTTTTTTATGTTTTGAGACATTTGCATCTAAGCTTTTTCCTCTACAACTGCCAAAAGCATTCTGTCGCTTGTGCTTTACTTTGCCTGCGTGTGTCAGTGTGAATATCAGTGTGTGTGTGTGTGTGTGTGTGTGTGTGTGTGTGTGTGTGTGTGTGAGAGAGAGAAGGGAGACTGACGGACTCCTGGGGTGACCATAGTCCACATTTGTGAACGAAAACGTCTCCGAAGTGTCTTACATGTCTATATGTTGTGTGTGTAGGATCTGACAGCGATTGGAATTACTAAACCAGGCCATAGAAAGAAGATGACATCAGAGATTAACAAGCTAAGTGTCACGGAGTGGCTGCCGGACCACAAACCCGTGAGTGGAACACAAGCCAGACATCAACACAAGGCAATGTTTTCATCATTTCGTTGAAAGATGGAGGCTACATCTATTGTTCTTTGTTGGCTATGCTGACTGGGATATGAGATAGATGCTGGCCAGTCCTTATCAACTGTAACATTTTTCTGTATTTTTTCTCCAGAGCAACCTGGGCGAGTGGTTGTCTGCCATCGGCCTCAGCCAGTACCACCAGGTGTTGGTGCAGAATGGTTACGAAAACATTGACTTCATCACTGACATCACCTGGGAAGACCTGCAAGAAATAGGCATCACAAAACTAGGTAGAACATACACACATGTTGTATACACGTCAAAACATATCAATTTAAACAATTATTGCTGTACATTCTATAACGTACAGTCAGAATGTTCACTCTTAACCTCATCCAGCTAATTTTTTAATGTTATGCCAACCCAGTTCATGTATTCGGTGGCTAACTTTCATATTCCGAGACAGCTATAATACAAGAACGAGTAAAAAGGTTGAAAATAATCCAAATTGGATAAAGAGGTTTGTTGCAAAGTAAAAAGTAAGTCAAAAATAGAGAGGAAAGGTATATAAAAGCAAAACTGCTAACAGTTAAGTGCTAGCTTATACACTTAATACAGTACATTTTCTTACATTTATATTGAATTTTAGTAATTGCAAGCCAGGATCTTTGGTAAACAAACTTGCAGCTATGTTAACAAACTAATAGTTTCATGGTTAAACTAAGTTGTAGGTTCAAACAGTCAGTTTACATTTGTATTGATTTAGTTTGCTTTGTTGATACATGTAGACAGTGTAGGAGTAGCAGAGTAACTTTGGCCATTGTTAGTTACCATTTTTTTTATATTGTCAGCCTTCCTCCTAGCCATCTTTTTGGACATTTAAGATAGTTTTATGCCTGATGAAAATTTCAATTTCATTTTCAAACTTCAAACCAGTTTTCAAACTGTTTTGTGTTTGTGTTGAGGAAAAATCTATGTTTTTAGATATTCGAGCTTAACCGTAACTCCAACTGTTTTAGGTCACCAAAAGAAGCTGATGTTGGCGGTCAAACGCCTAGCCGAAATGCAACGTGGCACAGACGGATTGGGCTCCCTCAGAAAAAAGCCCCCACCGATCACACAGCAGCAAGAGGTCATGTCGATGGACAGCCCGCCCCCAGACGGTCAGCTGACAGATGAAGTTCGAATTCTCTCAGGAGGCTGTCGTTACTTACTCAGACTTTAATACCGATTCAAAATCTTCTCGTCTTTCAGAGGTGATGTCCCCGAAGATGAGTACCTTCCAGGACAGCGAGTTGAGCACCGAGCTACAAAGTGCCATGACCCAGCCGGGTCAGGAGGTTAAAGTCCAGCGAACACGCACACTCAGCAAAGACCACGACGAGGCTCTCCCAGGAGGAGGAGGAGGAGGAGGTGGCGGGCCCCCCAAGAAGGAGGCGCGGACTATGAGGCAGCAGAGCAGCCAAGGAAGCAGCTCCTCCCACCGGGGGAGCGTGTCCTCACAGGGCAAACACCGTCACTCCCATTCCCACTCCCAGCCTGCGCCTCCGTACACCCCGCCGCACACCCCCACCAAGACCAGGACTTCCTCTTCCTCCTCCACGTCGTCTGCTCAGAGCTCGGCTTCCCCGCAGACCAAGCCCAAACCGCCTCCCCAGTTAGCTCAAGGGGAGCAACCTCCGGCGCCGCGTTCGCACCCGCCTCAGTCGCCCATTCACCGGGCGGCCACTGGTCAGCTCCCACCGCAGCAGCAGCAGCAGCAGCAGCAGCCTCAGCCTCCTGTCCAGCTGCAACAGCACAACCCCCAGACACAGGAAGTGGAAGTCCGATCTGGCCAGCAGCAGCCACAGGTGCCGCTCCTATGTCTGCCCCCCGAGGTGTCCGAGGCGGAGGGGGCCGAGCCCTCGGCCCTCCAGCAGAAACGCGCGCACAGCCTCAACCGGTACGCCGTCTCGGACGGGGAGTGCGACGAGAGGGAGGGGGGGCGAGGCGGGGGAGAGAGAGACGCGGCCAAAGCCGGGGGCCAGGCCCCGGCGGCCGCCAGAGGGGACGGGGGGAAGTACGCCACGGTGACGCCCCGCGTCAGCCGCAGCCACTCCGTCCGCAACCAGGACAAGGCGGCCAACCGGGGCCAGGCCCAGGCCTTCGCCCTGCGCCAGAAGAAGAAGGGCCCGCCCCCGCCGCCACCCAAGCGCTCCAGCTCGGCCATCTCCAGCTCCAACTCCAACCTGACCGAGGCCAACGCGGCGCCGCAGACGCACGCAGCCACCACCACCACCGGGGGGATGCTGGACGTGCCTTACCACGGACAGCGGCGGGCCAGCGACCTGGGGATGTCTGTGGAGACAGTTGCCGTGGAGACGAGCAGCGTGGGAAGCGTGAGGAGCATCGCCGCCATGTTGGAGATGTCTTCTATCGGGGGCGGAGCCAAAGGCATGGCTCTACAGAAGAATTTCCTGCAGGTACGGTAAACGCCTGCATCTTTAGGAGGGTTTGCTTTACCATGGTTCTGCTCGAGGTTTCTGCCTGTTAAAAGGAAGTTTTTCCTTGCCTGTGTCGCATAGTGCTTGCTCATGGTGGGAATTGTTGGGTTTCTGTGATTAACTTCAGAGTAGGGTCTGACCTGCTCTGTGAGACTTCCAACCAGCTGAGATAACGGTGAACCGCTTCTGTGGCTGTGTGTTAACCAGGTGGGGAAAACACGTGAGGCCATCGGCCTGGACGGCGAGGTGGTGAACCGGCGGCGGACCATCAGCGGGCCCGTTTCCGAACTGGTGGCCGCCGCCAGGTGGGAGCAGCCCGCTCCGGTGGCCGTGACCCAACCCCCGACGCCCTCCGAACCCTCCCCTCCCCCGGTAAATTCCCCCTCACCCCAGCCCCCGTCCTCCCCTCACCCCAGCTCGGGAGGCAGCGGCAGCTCATCAGAGAACCTTCCATTTGCGGAGGAAGGAAGCCTTACCATTCGTCGTCAGGGTCGAGGAGAAGGAGAAGGACAGGTAACTATCTCTATATACATGTTTGTCTATCTATCTATCTATCTATCTATCTATCTATCTATCTATCTATCT